ACATCTCAGGTTTTTCAACATTGTGCTTCTAGATAAACAAGTAATAATATATTTATATTGCCAGTAAACTTAACTAGTAATTAATTTTCCACTTTGCAAGACTAGCTTGTTATTGTCATAGGTGAATAAAAGTACAGACACTCTCAGATCTTTTAATGAAATTCAGTATTCTTTACTGTTGACTTTCAGTGACCTATTTTGTTTTCCTTAGTCCCCAATTACCAGTATAATTTAGATCCAAGGTTAAGTTCATGCCTAAACTTGGGACCATCTGTTCAGGAAACTTTACTAGGCCTGTTTGTATTTTCATCCAACCTGAAGACAGATATTTTGTCATTTTTATAAACACTGCCTTATCAACCTAGAGGGAATCATTGACAGTTGTCACAACTAACTTCTCAGGTAGAAACTGAGAAAGTAAAGAGCAAACACTAGTAAGTTTTGAATGTCTGAATGCCCAAGCCTACTTTTAATCAACACATTCTGCTGAAACACTTTCTTCATCTTCAGAAATTATTTTTACAGACACAATAAGGTCCTGTCCAGTACACAGAAATTAAAAACTTCTTCCATCGGAATATGATTTTCTGCTTCATATCCCTAACAGAAGTGCATTTCTCTTTTCCTTGCTGTCATGTAAAGTAGCATTTTACTGTAAAAGCTTAACTTTGTTTTATCCTGAACTTTTTTACTGTGAATGTGATAGCAAAAGTCCTGGAGTTTCCAGTGCCTCATCTAAGAGGGATGCTGAAATAAAGATACAAATAATTCAGCAAAGGATCAGAAAGCAGCTAACAAAGGATAGTTAGCAGAATGGATGATGATGGGACCTCACTACAATACAGTATACTTTTATCAGTGGAAAAGGTGCAATAGTTCTGCTTCTGTTCAAAAGAATGTAATTTTAGATTTTCTCTAAACTCTTCAAAATACAGTACAAATAATAATTGGAAAAGTTCAAAAACATAGCCATCATGATCTCACAGAAATTGCACTCAGAGACAGATCTGAAAATTAATGCCTCCAAAATTAAGTGAGGTTTTGTTCAGGCTCAAAGCTACAGCCTATGAAATTCTGCAAAAACATCCTACAAGTCTTAAAGAAAAGCCTCTTGACTAAAGCCTTTGGATATGCTCACTTCTGCCTCAGCTCTCAAAACAAAAACTCCAGTTGCATCAGAGGAAAAAAGTTAAATAGACACCTTCAAAGGGATCTGGAAAGTCTATATTACAGACCAAACCACAGTTATTTAGGTATCATGACATACTGCTTTGACTTCACTAAAAATGCCAGAAATAACTTCATGTCACTGTTTACTCCTTTTTCTGCTGTCATGCAGGTCAAACATTACCATGTTCATCAGGTGCCAACTACGAAGCATTCATGAAAATGGCAGAGCTGAAAATACTGGTGGTCAATCCAGAACCAATAAATAAAAAAAAAAAAAAAATCTTGCTACAACAAGAGTAAGAGATTTATTATTGGCCCAACAAGGAACACTAGTAGCATCACTGCATTATGATAACTTCCCTGCTCCAGTCCAATTTTTTTCACCTTGATATGTTATATGGGCTATGATTGATTGTTGTTCATTACTGCATGTTATTTGCAACACTTCTTGTCTGTTAGACAACTGCCCACCACCTTTCAAAACAAGTGATCCATGCCATACATTGTATATTCTACTTATGAGTAATTCTTTCTCCTTAGCATCTTCAGGCTAGCAGATGAAGCACTGTTCTTAGGCACACTGGCCCAGACAGCACTTAAAAACGTAATTATAAAACAAATAATCACAAGTTAGAGGGTGAAAACTTGCCACTAAACTATCTTCTGTTGCATTCAAAGAGCAATACAAACTACCTTAGATTATATCATTACAAAAGATGCATTTGAATAATTTGCAAAAGTCGATAACAGTAAAGGGTAAAAAAGTTTATTTCCTTCTACCAGATGACTGTTTCACAAACTACATATATAATATAATTTCTTAGGTATGCTTATACAAAAAATGCAAGGGTTTTTGGCAATGCCAAGTTAGTAGTTCACACAGTTTTTAAGTAGTTTCTAAATACAAGTTTTTTGGATGGTTCTCCCTCTGGGCAGTGAAGTATTTCTTCTTGAAATAGGTGATTGAGGGACCAATTCAGATGTCAAATATCCTTCACTGGCTAGCTCCCAAGGGCCAATATAGTAAGTGCAGCACTCCAGTACAGTGAGGATCTCTGTACTTCTGAGCTGGAATCATTCCTGTGTTGTTGTTCATATCCAAAAAGATTCTTACGGTCTTCATATTCAGAGCAGAGTATTTTTTCCATCTCTTTTGGGTGTTGCTAGTTTCTTTTTATTATCAAGTTGTCCTCATGTCCAAATGGAATATCAAGGGGAAAAAATCATGGTTTTTTTGGGGACCTTTGGGTTTTTTTTTTTCCTGTTTTTTTTTTTTTTTTCCTAACCAATCCATCACAGATATTTAAAAAAAAAAAAAGTAAAAAAGAAAAAGTTTTTTCTTTTGGTAGTCAGATTCAGTTTGGAAAGGCATTTCTGAATATCACATTGTATGATCTGCAACCAGTAAACGTCAGTACTGAAGACAACGAGATCATGGAAATTTGGGTCTATAAACAGAAAGTCAAGACCCTGTGTTTGAACCATTTATCACAGAATATAAATTCATAAGCATTGTCCCAAAATTTTACTGAGTGACAGAGTTACATTAACTAGATTTTGTTAAGTGACACAGTTGCATTAAAAGGTAATTAAAAAAAGAAAAATCATGATATACCATTTTGGAATCTAACACTTGGACAAGTCTAGTTTTGGAACCACACATATTTATCTCAAATTCCAAATTAATTCTCCATCAGAAGAAAACATTTGCAATTTCAGAAATGAAGCTCTGTACCTTCTTGGTTCCACACAGCCTAAACAAGTTTGTCAAAGCATCTTCTGGACAAGCTGTCAATATGTCAGAGTACAAAAGCATACCTGTGATCAAAATTTCACAAAACAGAGCTTTATTGTGTCCTTAAAGAACTTTTCTGCAGGGCTGAGTGGGCTTCTGTCCTCATCACAGATTACTATCACACAGCAGCAGCAGCACCACACATATTGATATGCTAGTCACATCCAACCCTCCATCCATCCAGCGACTGCAATCAGGTACCTGATAATAATGCAAGTCACATCAGCTGGACTGCTGCCGCAGTGAACTGATTCATGCTGGTGCCTTGATGCAAATAACAAGGACACCAGGGCCATAAGATGTAGGATCTTGTCTTTATAATACAGATGCTGTTTTCAAGATGGAACATTCCAGTCTCTTGCTTCTCTTTCAGGTATGCAGTGTACCTACACTCCCTCTCTTAGCCTCTGGCTGAGCAATGACATTGTTTGACACATTTAAAAAAAAAAAAAAAAAATGTGCTGCAAAGTGGGGGTTGGGGAAACAAACACAATTTAGTCACTAAGCTGCTACTGTCTTTTCACTGCTATAGCATTATTTCTTACTGTAAGCGATGTGTTTTCCCATCATCTTTGCCACAAAATGAAAACCTGTCTAATAGTCTTGAAGCACTGAATATAAAGAAAAGGTTAGTCAGACACGCTTAAAGCAATTACTAATCAAATAAATAACTTTCTATTATGTTAAGCAGGCATTTCTGTGTTTTTTTTCCTGTTTAGTTGTCTCACTACATAGCTTTATGGAGATTTTATGTATAAGCATATAATTTGCAAGTAAAACAATGAACAGTTAAACCATGACAACACTAATTCTTAAATTAACATATGATTTTTATTTATTTATTTACTGTCCTGGCACTCTAACAAAAGCGTTAGTGCCAAATCATCCCACAGAACAATCCTGAAGTGATGCACATCTTCAATACACTCAGTAGAACAAACAATAAATTGAAGCAGCAGTGACCTAAGGTATTGTCAAGCCGCACTTAGCTACAAGCGCTGAGCAGAAGAATGCAATGATTTAAATTTCCCTCATACTATCTTATTTTATTTTACCCAGATTTCTCTTACACAAATTAGGATTAAATATATGCACTGGTAATATATAAAAGAAAAGAATAAATTAGGTTTGGTTTTTTTTTTTCTTCCTGAGAGATGACTACTTTCTGGCTCTTATTTTCATTTTATTCTTTTCATCCAGGAAAAATAAAGAGAGTTGAGTATGAAAAAAATTAGGAGTGAGAAATAAGAGGAAATAACTAAAATAATTTAAAATAATTAACATTTTAATTGTCTTCTTCACCTACACTATGTTCCTTTCCTTCTCAGCTCATGAGATGTAGCCCCTACACATACACACATAACCACATCAATCTGAAGGTGTAAAGAGAACACACATTTCCAAAGCAGCCACAATAACAGACACTACTGCTGCTAGCTAACACATTTGATTCACAAACTCTCTAACAGGAACCACCCAGCACAGCAGCTGAATGGGATCAAAATATTTACATCTCATAATGTAAGGACAAACATCAGACTTCTACAAGAATAAACAATTTTTTCACTTAAAGTTGTAAGTGGCAAGATATTAATCACAAATATATTAACTGAAATTATAAAACCTTCAACAAACAAGCAAACCTGAACCATGGCAGAACACCCAGCACAGACACTGGAGCACAGCCACTAACATCAAGGGATATCTCACATCCATCCTTCTGGCCATGCAACTAGCCCTAGGACCACTGTGCAATAAACAGAAGTGGTGAGTATAAGGGATGGAGTTCTTCTGATTCCAAAGGCATCCTCAGTCCAGTGTAGTAATACAGAAAATATTATCTAATCTCCCATAAGCACCCTTCCATAGAAAATACTGTAGGAGGGTCCCATACAGAGGCAAGACCCGAGTAACGACACCACATTGATGCGATGAAAGTCGTTCTCCATTATTTTCCCGAATAGTGCCCAAGATATACAGAGCCAGACTGTCACGCGCTCTATGCCTACAATCTATCAGTTAAAGGCACTTGTCACGCACCCGGAAGTGCTGTCTGATAGGTCTGCGTCGTTAGTACGTGTATATAAACTAAACCTACTTTGAGGTTAGTGTATCCGGGCATGTGTCCGGGAGAAAGCAATAGCTTGACTTCCTCATTTTAGCCCTTCAAGGTGACCTCAAGGACAAGATTATCATGTAGCAATTTTCTGTTCTGAGGCCCAGCCTGGATTGTCCAAACCCTGTAGAATCAGTGCATGTTCCTGATCCTCAAGAAATCCTACCACAAAATACATTTGAAATCTATTTAGCTTTGCAACTCTGTAGAAGCCTGCTGGACAAAATGCTGCTTCTCAAAGGGAAAAGCTTTCTTTTCAGGGACAGTAGATTTTTTTTAAACTTATGTTTAAAACCATCAATTACAGCAAATATTCCACCACTCTTATACTGAGAAAGATGCTTCACCAGCTTCCATTTCAAAGATGAGAGGCCACACAAACTGCAGAGCATCAAGATCAACAGGCACACTGTTGTGGTTTCAGATCAGAGGGGAACTAAGTGCCACACAGACACTCACTCCCCCTTCCCCCCAGCACTGAGAAGGAGAAAACAAGCAAAGGCTTGGGATTCAAGATAGGACAGGGAGGGATGAATAACTCATTATGGTCACAGGCAAAAGACAGACTCATTAGGGGAAGAAAAGAAAAACATAAATTTAATACAGACACTAACAACAACACTTAACAGATGGAGTAGGACAGTAAGAAGCACTACCACATCTTGAAAAGTTTTTCCCACACCCCTCCCTTCTTCCCAGGCTCAGCTCTGTTCCCTATATCTCTACCTCCTCCTCCTAGTGGACAGGGGCAGGGGATGGGGTGGTGCAGTCAGTGCTGCAGCTTATTCCATCTTGGGGGTGGAGGGGCAGAACTTCTGGAACTTCTTCCCCCTGATCCAATGCAGTCCCCCTCTCACAGCAGACAGTCTTCCACAAACTTATTCCAACTTGAGTCCCTCCCACGGGCTGCAACCCTTCCTCAGCTGCTCCGATGTGGGGCACCCCCGCATGTTGCAAGACTCAGCTCTGAACTACAACAGGGGCTGCTTCTTTCCACAGGGTCCTGGCCTCCTTCGGGTGCAATCACCTGATATGTATGCCAGTGTCTGCTCCACCACTGACCTCCATGGGTGGCAGGGGGGACCAGACCCTGCCATATTACCACAGGATATAAGGGAGTCTCTTCTCCAGCACACCTCCCCCACTTTCCTCCTCCGTTCCTCCACTGACCTTGGTGTTCACGCAGATGTTGCAACTCCTCCTCACCAGGTCCTTTCTTAAATACATTAAGAAGCACAGCTGATTGGCTTGGCCTTGGTGCAGAGGTAGGGCCAACTTGGAGCTGGGGGAGCTTTGAGAAGCTTCTCACAGGTGGCCACCGCTGTAGCCCTCTCCCCTGTTACACAAAAATCCCACCATTCACTCAAACCCAGAACACACATACAACAGGCTCTCACAGTGGCTTGCTCATCTTTGAAGTCCAAAAGTCAAAGTTTCACCTGCACAAACCCAGCAAAACAAAGAAATCTAACTCTTGTTTTCAGAGTTAAGTCTGCCTTTACACAGAGTTGGACTCTTTTTTTCTTCCAAACCTACATGTTTCAGGACTTCGACCTAACGAAGACGGCAGACTTCATCCACTGAAAGTCACTATCCAGTTTCCCAGTTTGACATCTCAACTCCATTTTGTGGATGTGTGTATTGGGTTTGTATGGCAAGGTTTTGCTAATTGTGAGGCCACAGGGGTGGCTTCTATGAGAAGCTGCTAGAAGGTTTCCCAATGTCCAATACAGTCAATGCCAGCCAGCTCCAAGACAATCCTGCCACTGGCCAAGGTCAAGCCCATCAGTGACAGTGGTAGCACCTCTGTGATAATGTATTTAAGAAGGGAGAAAAACTGCTGTGCAATTGCAGACAGAGGAGTGAGAATGTGAGATTAACAACTCTGCAGACACCAAGGTCAGTGAAGTAGGAGGGCAAGGAGGTGCTCCAGAGCAGAGATTCCCCTGCAGCCTGTGGTGAAGACTGTGGTGAGGCAGGCTGTCCCCTTACAGCCCAAGGACATCCATGGTGGAGCAGATGCCCACCTGAAGTCAGTGGGGGACCCAATGCTGGAGCATGTGAGTGTACCTGAAATAGGCTGTGACCCCATGGGAATCCCACACTGGAGCAGGCTCCTGGCAGGACCTGTGGAGACCACAGCCCACGCTGGAGCAGGTTTTCTGGTAGGACTCGTAACCTCATGGGAGACCCAAACTGGAACAGTCTGTTCCTGGACTGCACCCCGTGGAAGGGATCCATGCTGGAGCAGTTCAGGAAGAACTGCAGCCCATGGGAAGGGCCCACATTGGAGGAGTTCTTGGAGGACTGCCTCCCATGGAAGGGACCCCACACCAAAGTAGGGCAAGAGTGTGAGGAGAAAGCAGCAGCAGAGACAACATGCAATGAACTGACTGCAATCCCCATTCCCCAATAGTCCTGAGCCCCTCAGGGAGGGAGGATGTAGAGAAATTGGGAGTGAAGTTGAGCCTGGAAAAAGGGAGGGGTGGGGGAAAGGTGTTTCAAGATTTGGGTTTCTTTCTCATTATCCTACCCTGATTTAATTGGCAATAAATTAAATTAGCTTCCCTGAATTAAGTCTGTTTTGTCCGTGACAGTAACTGGTGAGTGATCTCCCTGTCCTTATCTCAACCCACGAGCCCGTCATGTATGCTTTTTCTCCTCCTGTCCAGTTGAGCAGGGAGGGAGTGTGATAGAGCAGTTTGGTGGGCACCTGGCATCCAACTAAGGTCAAGACAGCACAATGTGTTTGCAAAGGATCACAAGGGGCTGATTCTGCATACTTTGTGCATTCAGTCAAGAAACAGGTGCAAAGCAGAAGGGTAATCCAAGATCTCTTCCGTATCATTTTCTGCAAGGAGGACCGTTTATTTTCAAGTGTTATAGATGATAAATCTTACACATACCCTAATCACAATGCCAAGGACAGCAGATAAACTTGAGACACATGGAATGACTAAGGTGCCTGTATTTCACATGCAGTGGTGGATTAAATAGTTGGAAAACATCTTTCATTTACATCTTCCCAGTTACACCGCATTACTTGCACTTGTGAAGCGGATTACTTAATGAAGCCTCTGCTGTCAGAAGCCAATTCACAGCTCACATTCAAACATCACAGTTTTACTTGATGCTTTCAAGGATCAGCAGGAAATAAAAGCAGTGGTGAAAAAGTTGCATCAAAAATAAATAAATAAATAAATAAATAAAAACCCACCAAAACTATATTTAAATGTTGTAGTAACAAATCCTTTCTCAGTACGTTAAGTCTTTCTCAGCCCTCAGCCAAAGGCACTAGTGTACAGTGAAACACTACTCTCTATATGAAGCATGAAAAATATCTATATGAAGGACAAAACAAGAAATTTATAACCTCTTAGAATATTATCCAAATTCTGATCAAACATGCATAACAATATATACTGAAAAGTGATTAGACCATGGGAGTAGGAAAAGTCAGGGATTTATTTCTTCCTGAAGGATTCAGTAAGGCAAGGCCACTACAAACGTGACACAGTTTAGAAACTTCAGATTATTTGGGGAAACATGAACTTCTGAACTACTATAAAACAGTGAACAAACTGGTAACATTTTTCATTCAAATTTCTTTTGAAGCTGAAGTTCATCCAGTTACAAGTTAACAGGAGTTAAGTTCCTAAATTCTTGTTCAAAAATGAGAGGTAAGCCTCTAGGTCACATCAGCCTTTTGAAACAGTTATGCTCTCTGGCTCAGCTTGTCCAACTATAAAATAAGTTACATAATTTTGGATTCCTATGCCACATTAAGTTTTAAGGTAATATTTTAAAACACAAGTGGTGATGTGTTTGGGGCATGGTTTGCTTGTTTTGTTTAATTCACTTACACAGGCTGACCTGCAGTTTATATGCACATCACTAAGTAATGCTGCCAAGTCAGAAAAAAAAGCATAAAGCTTTTCTATGTACCAAGCTGCTCAGAAGTTGCCCCCATTCAGATGTGCAGAAATATGCCTTATCTCAGAACCTATGGTGGAGAGAATGACCTCAGCTTCCTAGTTCCACCTCCTGGAATCAGCTCAAATCTTTGCTATACTCAACAGAAGCGCTTCTTCAACTAGAGGTGGATTAAAGACTGTGTTCCACACTTGCTGAAATCAAACATGCTACCAAAATAGCGCTGTGATACCACAACCTTTGTGTCAAGGTCTTCATCTAGCATGAGCACACTGCCCACTATGTTCCATCTCATCACTGCTGTTATGCCAAAATGCTTGATTTTTATACTCCAAATATTCCTAGAGCTTGTGTTTACAACAAATGACCAGCTGGAGTTGTCTTAAAACAGGAAAACCACTGATCCAAGTTCTGTCTGTCTGCACTGACACTGACTACAACAGTGGCTTCTGCCTCTCAGCCCTCCATCTGGGTCTCCAGTCATGAGTACAGCCCCCTCACTGCAACGTTGACTTTTGCAGCCAGCAAGAACATATGGAGGAGGTCCTGCTCTAGGGAACCCCGGGGACTGCCATTGTGTGCAGAAGCAACAATTCTAAGCAAGAAAATCTGCCCTCTGATATACAAAGTCATTTCGTATACCAAGCTCAAATGTTATTCCCTGCCAGCAAGCAGGACAATCCAATAACCTCCAAGTTGGTGGCCTGACTCTGCTATAGCCAGGCATGTTGTTATAGATACAGGGCCCATAGGCAAGATTAACTTCTGCTTATTCAAATACACTAGGTGTTCCCTCTCTGACAAAAGGAATATTTGGAGCATTTACTAGTTATCATATTAACATTTTGTTCCAAAAGCAGATCTATCCCCTTCTCATGTCCCCAGCAGCAGCTAAAATTTATCATGTATCATCATGTATTTGAACTAAAATATTTCTTCAGGAACAAAAATTAAATTTACATACATGTACCTTAAATGGACTTGTAAGTGAAGAGGCAATGATGAAATGGATGCAAACTACAGATTAAGTACAGTAGGAACAATGTGACAGTAGCATACTATTGAGGTCCTTTTGGGATTGGGGGTGAGACGGTATGAATATGGGGCTCTTAATAGTAATGAACACTAGAAAGTTGTCAGATGTCAACTCAGGGCAGACAGATCCATTTTTTCTTTCTGTTAACACCTTCAGATCCAGATTGGCACTGCACTTGTTTTGGAATTGCAGTACTTTAAGTACTGGGAGCTTTAGCTGCCATGGATTCTCACAACCATTTCCTAGGTATGCCAAGCTAAATCTGGCATTAGATACAGATACGATGACACTATTGCCCAAGTAGCAATAGTAGTTGCACCTGACTCGCAAAAAAAAAAAAAAAAAAACCACACAAACCCTACACTTTTTTAATAAGGATTGAAGTCAAAGTATCCTTTTCCAGTACCGCTAGTTACAGAAAAAGAAAGATCAGTCTTAAATATAATGATCTTCATAAAGCTTAACTACCAACAATTTAGATACACTACAGTCAAAGTAAAGGGGAAAAAAAAAATGAGTCTTCTTCAACATTAACTCCTGAAAGAGCTTGCATTCTTGTAATTTTTTGCTCTTCTGATACAATTTTCCCCATACAATAAAACAGAAGTTCCTACACCATGTGTCAAATAAAAATGCACAAAAACCCTTTACAAACATTTCAAACTAAAGTAAAATAAATTACTGACTACCAGCTGCAACTTTAAATATTTGGTATCATATAAAGCATTCTTAACAAGATGAAACAACACAATAATCTACAACTAGATGCTGAAATTGTGATTGATCTATGGTAAATGAGTTACTAGACTATTTTTTGACTGCATAGTACCTTTTAGTTCAAAGCATGATGAACAGACAATGCAACTGTGATTCGATACACCAATTCAGGTAGCATGTTCAAATGGAAAAAAACACCATATGCTCTTCTGCTTATATAGAAAGCCAAATATTTCTTTCAATCCTACATATGAGAAAGCTCCTAGTGCTAAGTTAATATTTAATTTAGCAATGTAAGCACCAACTTTTCCCCTGGAAAATCTGTCTGTGCTCTTAAGTTTTCTCACAAATCACCATCTGTACATGCCTATGCAATTACTCTGTCTGGATCTTTTCTGTATACAAATAGGACTTGCAGGCAGGTATACATATAGACCATAAATCAGACAGTCTCACTGTTCCATGTCTGGACTACAAGTATATTTTGCCCAAAGCTTTTTACAGTTCCAGAAGCAATGCTTTCCACACTGCAATGGGAAAACCTGTATGGTGCAGTTATCCACCCTATCAGGGGCTAGTTATAGTACAATGATGTGGTTCATATCTGTAAAGTAGCATCAGGGCCTGGCTAATCCAGCAAGCCTGGGACTGATGTACTGCTGCTTTCCAAGTGAACGTTGGTAAAATTATATACTTCCCCTTGATAAAAATAGTAGACCTGCAAAAAACTTAAGGTCATGTTCAACACTTCGTTTAGATGCACCACCTTAATACAGCTCTAAAATTCTTCAGTTGCACAAAATCAAGATCCTACATGACTAAATGAGAGAACTGAGATGCAGTGAAGCTTAAAGCTGCTGATCATGTGTTACTGCACCCAACATTTATTGCAAAGCCTGTGATGTTGTTTCTCATGACCCTGCAGTCACATCTTTCATATTCTGTCCTGCAACGTGCTGAATGCTTAATATTCTGTATGATTTTTTTGTGACAGGATAAAGATGACATTACTGTGTTTTTACCACAAAACTTTTGCAAAGCTTGACATCTCACATACTTCATGTGAGCTGTTGCTGCTAACGTATTATCACAAAATTAATGTAGTGAAAAACTATGATACCAATGCAGTTATTAGCTTCTTCATGAAGTGTGACATCGGTAAGTGACTGGTACTGTTGATCGTCCAATAGGTACCTAGTTGGCACTTGTAGCATTAAATATCACACTCAAATTGACATGGGCAAGCACAGGATGAAGCTTCACACAACAGCTGCCACAATGCACATGGTATCTCACCAAACCCTTGCAGAAATTTTCATAAGTCTGTTAAAAGCATTCCATTGTCCACAATACTGTAAGACTCCTATTTGCCATTATTTTCTGACTGCAAAAAGTAGCTTTACATCTGCAATGGTTGAAACCTCATTCTTTGTATCCACTTCATGAACTATTGCTGTGCTAACAAGGTCAGGCAAACAATGACACACATATTCATTACAGATGCAGGAGGGAATTCAGCCTGCAGCCTTTTTGCTCATTATTTGCCTGATCGATTAGAAAACTGTAGGACACTGGACATCCTAACAGAGGGTCTGGGAAACTACTTTCTCATGTTGTGTCCATTTCCTAAACCAAAACAAAATGGAAGTTTTCAAAATTATTTACTCCATAAAACTTAAACCCATTAACACACAGCATAGAATAAGTATGACCAAACTTACTTACACAGGTGAGGAGTGTGTTTTCTCATCATCTGCTTGATATTCCTATCAACTAAACACTGTTTATGCCACAAAAGTCAACGGCAGCCCAGGGACTGAGCCAGCCCGTTTCAGCAGGGCACAAGTAAGGCTGGGCACAGCTCTGGCACGGTGCAAAGCAGCCCCAGGCAGGCCCGACCTACCTGCTGTCCCCCCAGCTTCTGGGGAATCCCCAGTTTCCCCTCTCCTTTTGCTCCTTCTAGAGCAGCACATCCAACCTCTATCACCGTGCCTCCACTTAA